AACATTTGAGTCCGTGGAACAAGCAAAGCTGGTTGCCCTCCTCAATGTGGGTGGGCCTGTGCAGTCCACTGAAGGCCTGAACAGAAACGGAAGTCACAGCAAGAGAGCGCTCTGCTGTTTCTGAGCCGAGACGTCAGTCTTATCCTGCACTAGAACTGGGACGAGGAGTCGCAGTCACACCGCAGGCTCACCTGGGTCTCCAGCTGCTAAGCTCAGATTCTGGGACTTACCTGCACCCATAACCACGTAGGGACTCCTTATCTTGCACATCATTTATTAGTTCTGCTTCTCTGGAGAAGCCAAGCTCAGGTAGCCCTCACCCACACAGCTTTGAACAAGCACACCATCCTGGTAGTGCAGACGTTCCCTGTCCGTTCAACAGCAGGAGCTCACGATCATCGGACTCTGAACCCTCAGCCACTGATTTATTTTGTATTTAAAGTAACGATATTTATGCCTTAACTCTGAACAAGTGGCATATCCTCCACTCCAGGACAAAGAATCTGAAATAACCTCATTCATCCCACGCAGTGTCACTGACACAAATAACAAATGTAGCCCAACTTGTGAAGTCAAATCCCTCAAGTATCGAAGAACTTGACTTTTTCAAGTTTGCTATCCCTATTAACTTGCACAAATCTTGACCTCGACTGGCAGGGTCCACTTGTACAGATCACTACGGAGTGGGAACTTGCTCACTAAAAGCAGGAGATAGGCCTCGTCAGTGGGCTTGCCTCCAAGGACAGTTTGTATGGTGGTGGTCAACATCCTCATGGATAAAATTATTAAATGAAAAGAAATAAATGGGAATTTAAATTCTACATAAGGATGTCCTTTTTAAATCACAGCCGATTTAATAGGGCAGGATTTCAAATACATGAAATGGTATTTGTAACACTCTCCTCCTTCTCAAATGAAGATACATGTGCTAACAAAATACCTCCATGAACTTAAAATTGTTTAGCCATAGAAGCCTTTTAAAAATAAAACATTTGGTATAATGGGCACAAAACTCTTCCCATTGATGAAATGAATGAGCTTTTCACCAAACAGTCTTGGCCTTCTGCTTGCCTCAGAGCCTCCCCGTCTACCCCGCTGTTCCTGGGAGCTCTTTGTGTTCTTGTGGTGGCAGTTGTGCTAAATCATCATGCCTGAAGCACATCAGAAGCACGAGCAAGAAAAGGAAAATATGATAAATTGGACTTAAACAAAATTGAAAACTTTTGCACTAGAAAAGTGAATGTGAAAAATGCAGACTCTGAAGGGGGGAAATAATTGTAGATCATGAGTAGAAAAGATTTGTACCAGGACACGCAGAGGACTCGTACCAGGACACGCAGAGGACTCGTACCAGGACACGCAGAGGACTCGCACCAGGACACGCAGAGGACTCACACCAGGACACGCAGAGGACTCGCACGACTCAATTAAAAATTAAATGGACATAAACAAACACCTCTGGAAATCAGTCACGCAAATGGCCACTAAGCACACAAAAAGATGCTCAATATCATTAGCCACTAGAAAAATGTAAACCCAAACGAGGGAGAGCTACCACAACTCCCACTGAAAAATGCAGACTCTGAAGGGGGGAAATAATTGTAGATCATGAGTAGAAAAGATTTGTACCAGGACACGCAGAGGACTCGTACCAGGACACGCAGAGGACTCGCACCAGGACACGCAGAGGACTCACACCAGGACACGCAGAGGACTCGCACGACTCAATTAAAAATTAAATGGACATAAACAAACACCTCTGGAAATCAGTCACGCAAATGGCCACTAAGCACACAAAAAGATGCTCAATATCATTAGCCACTAGAAAAATGTAAACCCAAACGAGGGAGAGCTACCACAACTCCCACTGAAATCGCTACAATAACAGTGAAGGCAGTGAGAGGCTCTGGGCGAGTGTGAAGACGTGATACCTGCGTGCGTTGTAAGTGAGCGTATAAAGTGGGGCGGCCACCGGAAAACAGACTGGCAAGTCCTTAAATCACTGAACACAGAAATATCAACGCCCAAAAATTCCACTCCTACGCACAAACCTGAGAGAAATGGAGACACACGTGCACACAAGCATGTGTAGAGAAGCATTTATAGTGGATTATTACACAGTCAAAAAGTGGGGGCCAGTAGGTGGCGTGGGAGTTAAGGCTGCTGGACTCCCACATGGCCGACTACAGTTCAAGTACTGGACCTCGCAACTTGCTTTCTCACTTTCTCTCTCTCTCTCTCTCTATCTCTCTCTCTCTCTCTCTCCCTCTTTCTCTATTCCTCTCTCCCTCTTTGATTAAATTAAATAATTCTTTTAAAAATAGTCAAAAAGTGTGAATAACCAAAATGTCAACCAACTAATGAATGGATAAATAAAATGTGGCATATTCATAAAGTAGAATATTACTTGGCAATTAAAATGAACTGCTGACGTACGCTACAACATGGATTAACCTTGCAAACATTATGCTCAGTGAAGGAAGCCCATCAGAAAGGCCACATATTATACGATTCCATTTATAAGAAATGTCCAGAATAGGGAAATTGAGGTTGACAGGAAGGAGAAAGTGGTTGTCAGGGGCTGAGCGGTTGATCACTAACAGATATGGGTCAGATGAAAATGTTCTGAAATTGAGACCAGGAGTTGGCATAATGGCTATGTCACTGGAATCTCATGTATTCGACCACGGTTTGAGTCCCAGACCCAGTGGCTTAAAACTCATGTGCATGTGTGCCCAAGATCCCAAGAGGAAAATGGGAGAGAAGAGATTGCAGCGTGGCCATCTCCCCTGGGGGGTGATTTCTCACTTTCTGTCTCTCTGTCTCTCTCTGTCTTTCTAGTGAGCACCTGTGCCCTATAGCAAAACCTCTTTAAAAAAAGAAAAAAAGAAAGAAAAGAAAATGTTCTGAAATTGATGTGGTAGTGATTGCCCAACTATGTGACTGGACTAAGAACCAGTGAATTATACACTTTAAATGGGTGCACAGCAGCAAGTATATGAATTATATCTCCATGTGAAACTAGTACCTTAAAAATAAAAAACTCAAGGGGCCAGCAGGTGGGTATGACGGTTAAAGGCACTGGACTCCCACATGGTGGACCCCAGTTCAAGTCCTAGACCTGGAGGCTCGTTTTCTCACTTTCCCGCTCTCTATCTAGTCAAATTAAGAAATAATAATAAATTAAATTAAATTAATAATTCTTTAAAAAGAAAAAAAAGTCAACTCTGACACAGAAATTCCACTAGTCTAGTGCTCTTTGGATAGAGAGTGGGGGAAACACTACCGAAGCCAAGCTTCAAATCAGCATTTGTGGAACCGCAGCATGGCGGTGCGTTCTAATGCCTCTAACCTACTTCCTGATCATTCACTCAGAAAAGCTCCAAGTCATTATCCAATAGCAGGAATAGGGATCTGCCCAGGAATAGCCAAACCTAAGACACTGCCAGTCGTAGGCCTCTGCAGGTGTGCCTGTGAGCTCTCTGAATGCTCCCACTGGGGTCTCCAGACACTCATGGAAAACGCTTGTTATGAAACCACCACGCATGAATTTCAAAATCTGTCTACATACTCTAGTTCTATGTTTCCTCAAATGTTCTGAAGTCCCCTAGTGTGCCCACTCCAGAGTGTTAGCAAATGTGCTTCTCAGAGTTAGCATATGTGCTTCTCCCTGGCCTGGTTTGGTCCTCAAACCAGCCATGTCCACCACTGAGGTCTCCTGGAAGATATTCTAACAATGCGTTTCCATTGATTTGCTACTCCACATTTTCATCCCAAAACCAGAATGAACATTTCTCTGCATGACATGAAGCAGCCTTAAATAGTAAACCAGTGTTCAAGGGGCCACATGGGCCCTGTGACCTTAGAGTACGGAAGCACTTGCCCCAGAGCCTGGAATCCCCAATCCTCGCCCAGCCCCCCACAGGCTCCATTTCATCTCTGGCAGGTGTTGCCGCCTCATCCAAGTACCTTACAAGGATCCCAACAGAGAGAATAAATCAAATTATCATTTTCACTTAGCATATTGAACACTTTTGCAAAGCAGGTGAAATTATTACTAGATTGGGTCTTTTTAGCGTGTTTAAGCTGGGGTGCGGGCGATTTCACGTTCCTGTCTAGGCAGCAGCATTTGATCGTACCTAAATTTGGGAAGTATTTCCAGTATGTCTTGACCTGCTAGAATATTCACATGTAAGATGGGTGAAGACACACAGGACAGCACCTCCCTCTCCCGCCCAGTCCCGGAGCTGGCAGAAATGACTCCCAGAAAGAGTTTGCTGCCTACAGTGTGGGCTGCGGTCCTTGGAAGCTGAGAGGGCAGAGGCCTCCACAGAACCGGAGCTCGCAAAGCAACTGACAGAGACGGGGACAGCGAAGGACTGGTGCGTCACAGCCAGCAGAGCAGGCTGCCAACAGACTCCAGTGAAAGATGACGAAGCGCAGAATCTGCATTGCCATTTACACTCACTGCGATTAAACCTGACGACAGGTGCACAGTGAGATCCTGAAACCACAGGCCTGTCGGTGGGGGCGGGTGTGGCACCGGCTCCCAGAGGCAGCTCCCAGCAGGGCCACTGGGATGGAGGAGGGCGGCATGTGGCAGTGTGAGGCAGGAGGGAGGGAGGTCATCCCCAGGACAGGAGTGCGAGTGGCCTGGCCCAGAATGGGCCCTAGCAGCGCGTGTGGCTGGACTTGGCGTTGCACACAGCACCCTCTGCCGAAGTTCCAGTCTGGCCCAGTTCCCCCAGACATGGAAAGCTCCCTGAAATCCGAAAAGGGTATCAGGTCTGCTAGGGACAGGACGCCTGAGGGGTCTACGCTCCCAGGCAGCCCAGACTGCCCTGCGAGAGCCTGCTGCTTTGAGATGCTCTGGGCTCTGCCACCTCTCTGTTCCCCCCAGGAAGTGCCAGTGACTGCAGGAACGAGTGACTGAGAACTGAAAGCACAGAAGCCCTTTTTCAGACTAATGTCCTCGGGTCTCTAGCCCCAGGGCCACTTACTCTGGAGAACACATTCCAGCCACCTCAGCGACTGGGCAGAGGGAAGAGCTGGTGCCTCTGAGCCACTCAGGAGTCCTCCCTGTTCCTCCAAGGCGAAGCCCCAAGAAGCTGCCGAGGTGCGAGTCCTTGCAGCAGCTGCCCCGGGCAGTGGCAGGGCCCGACCAGGGGGCTTTGTGACTAGCCCTGGGCAAACCTGGTAGCGCCGCCCTCCAACGGTGCCGGCAAAGAACGTGGAGACCGGTAGAGCCTGGGGAGCCGGGACTCCAGCCTGCTCAGGCCAGCAGGGCCCCCTTCCTGACGGGCCGCCAGCTCCTGGCTGCACCCGCTGGAGTGAAGCTCTTAGTCTCAGCTCCCTTCTTCAACTGCTTGCAAGCTTCTGCACAGCTGGGAGCAGAGCTGCAGCCTCCTCAGCACAGCTGAAGAGAACAAAGCTTCCAGAGGCTGGGAGATAATGAGCTCCCGCCCGCCCAGCCCACCTCTCCAGCCCCACCGCCTTCCCTCCTACCCGCAGAAAATCGCCCAGAACCTTCTCTCACGCCAGGCCTTTATTTATTTATTTCCTTACAGGGCGCTGGCATTGCTTCCCTTGCTTTTCAGAGTCTAAAATGCTTTGGCAGCCAAGAATGAAAGTGTTTGTCTTAATTCTGCCCTCTCGGCATGAGCGTTGCAGAAAATGGCTTGCCGTTTCCTCCGCGGCTGCCGGGCTGCGGTGGTGGTGGCAAAGATAAACAGCCCATCAGTGCGGAGCTGAAAAGAAATATAGAAAGGAGTTGGGAGTAGTTTAATTACTTTGAATGGCTTTTTGTGTTCTGTGTGATTGCTTCCTATGATACAGTAGTTTCTCATTCTCCATGCGAGCTCTGTGTTTCTATTCATAAGAATAAGATTGAAGCAGGAAATTGGCTTTCAAGAGTAGGAGAGAGAGAGGGGACGAGGGGCTGGCTGTTTCCAGGAGAGTGAGTGGTAGAGGGTTCCCACGCGGCTGGGCCAGAAGCAGGATCAAGTCCTTGCCCTGCCTGAGGTCCAGGGATTACCCAGGCCCAGGGAAAGGGGCCTGTGGGGCAGCAATGGAGGCTGAGGGAGCCTGGGACAGCAGCCCCAGGGTGGGGGAAGGCACAGGGAGTCCTCAGCAAGGCCCCTGTTCTGGGGCTGCCTCCTCCTGCCTGGAAAAGTTGCCCCCTTCCTACCAGATGAGCGTGTGTGTGTGTGCGCACGCGCGTGCTCACAATTCCCTTTCGAGCCATCTATCATAGGGCAGATTATAGACGTTAACCTGTGGCTGAGACCCGGGAGAGCAGTGTTCCTTTCCGGGTGCGCTCTGCCCTTACATACTTCCCATTTCTGTAAACTGAGAAACGTGGCTCGTCATAATGACAAAGTCACCTCTACACATGACATAAGTACATGATCAAAGAGATCCTGCCAGGCCATTTGTCACCGACTACAAATAAAGCATTCTCACCATAGGCCGTCAGTACGACCCTGAGCCAAGTCCTGCCTTTCTCTATGTATTCTAAAGTGCCTTACAAAATAAAATAACTGAATACGATAAAGGAGTTTGCTATTAGAGGGTCCTGTGATCAATCCTCCATATGTACCATGTAAATCATACACGTTTCTGTAACTGCTAGTGTGTCGTGCTGGAAACCTATACTGGGGGCACTTGAGGAAAGGTCTGAGATTTACAAGCCCATCCGGAAATAAATGTCCCTGGAGCACAGAGCACTTTTGGACAACCGGGTAGAAGGACTCAGTGGCCTCTGGACCCCTGAGCTCACGGAGGATGAGGGCACAGCTGTCAGGCATAGGGCAGCCCACCCCGCAGCTGGAGGCAAGCCCGCAGCCATGCTCTGCAATCCTCCAAGCAGAGTGAGCCTGAGAACGACCACCTCGTTATTACAAGATGCTCGTCAGCGGGGCCATGAGAAGTGTGCGGAACAAATTCTGTTAGACTCAAATGCTTCGGACGGAAAGAGCAGGGACACTGGGCATCGCATATACTCAGAATGCAAAAGGAGTAACTATCTGCTTCCAATGCAAACTACCAAGCAGCAGTCAATGGGGAGAATGCAGGACTGGGAGAGGGCTGGCCAGGGAAGATGTCCCTGAGACAACGGGACCCAGAAATACCGCTCTTTGGTTTAAGAACCAGTGTGCCTGAGAGGGCCTTGCAGGAAGTGGAGAAGGAGAAACACAGAAAAGAGATGACAAACTATAAAACCAAGCAAGATGAGGAAGTGATGAGCCAGAAACCACGGGAGGAGAGGCATGCTAACGGTGAGCCCCGCCGGCTCTCAGGCTGTTGCGCACCCCGGCGGTGGCCAGTGGTGAGGAGCAGGGCCTGCCCTCCCAGCCCTTCCCTGAGCTGGCTCACCGCCCACCCTTGAGTGTCCTTCCTTTAGGGGCCTCTGCCTGGCACCCTGATACTGTTCTCAGCTGAGCCCATGTCTGATCACATTGAACATCATTTCAACCTCCTCATATTCCTCTGGGAGGAGAGGATGTCAGAAAACCACGAAGCCACAGCCACTGCACCCAAAGTCAGTTCAGAGCAGCTGAGGAGGAGCAGCTGCAGCCCAGCCCACACACAGAAGCAACGGACCGTGGAGAAGACCCTGCTGCCCAGATCATTTCCCCGGCCAGCCACAACCTGCTGCCCCAGTCATCTCTCCAGCTGACCATAACCCTGCTGCCCCAATCATCTCCCCAGCTGACCATAACCCTGCTGCCCAGACCATCTTCCCCTGGGCCGGCCATAATCCTGCTGCCCAGACCATCTTCCCCTGGGCTGGCCATAACCCCAGAGCCGCACAGCATCCACACTTCATGTAACTGTAGAGAGAGAAGGAGGGAGCATGATGCTGAAGAATTTGGGGTCCTAAGTCTCCCCTGGGAAGGGTGCATCCCTGACAGTGTTACCTGCAGGGTCCGATGGTCATGCTGTGGCACCAACTAGGAAGGCTCGATGCAGGAGCCGCAAGGTGGGCTGAGGGCGCTGAAGACAGGGGCAAGCAGCAGAACAGTCTCATGGGCACTGCAAGGTCACTTCTGTGGGCACAGTAGGTCCAAGGAAGATGGGAAGAAGTACCAAGATGCTGAGTGTCTGGCAAGTGTGACCATAAACTTCTCCACCAGAGCAGGAGACCCAACAGTGAGGGACGAAGCTCTCCAACGGGAACAGCCTGCTCACGGGACCTCACTCCGTCCTCAAGTCATCCCGACCAGGGGATCTTTCAACCACACGTGGCTAATGAAACACAGTGGTTATCAACCGGACCTGAAGTAAGCCCTCGGAAAGCATGCTGGCTTGAGAGTCCAGTTCTGACCCAGGTCTCTTTTTAGTAACATGACCTTGGGCAAGTCACCGGGCTTATAGTAGAGTAAATCACTATTGGGGACCAGCAGGTGGCGTGTTGGTTAAGGCGCTGGACACTCCCACATGGCCAACTGTGATTCGAATGCTGGACCTGGTGGCTTGCTTTCTCACTTTCTCTCTCTCTCTCTCTCTCTCTCTTTCTATCTCTCTCTGGTCAAATTAGAATGAATAAAATTAAATAAATAATTATTTTAAAAAGAGTAAATCATTATTATAGTAAGAGTAGGTTCTAGCGCTCCCGGGCTTCGTAATGGCTTCCCTCCTCTACTGTAGGTTATTCTATACTAGAGTAGTCCTCTCTTGAGAAAAATAAAAACAAAGGTCTTCAAATAAATAGTAAATAACCCAAATATCACTCCACGGGGGGAAACCTGAAGAGCGTTTCATAGATCAAACGGAGACCTGAGGTGGTGAGGTTCCAGCTGCCTGGAAACGTAGATTAGAAAGGAAACAGCATCTTCAACAATGGAGTCTTCATTTACCTGAGTGAGGTGAAGATCGATTTTCTTCACCAAATCTCAAAATCCTAGCATGAGGGGACACCTTCTGGAACTTTATAAAGGAAGCTATTTCCCCAAAGAGTAACGAGCTTACCGAGAGCTTGGCAGCAGCTGGTCGTCCCGGGAGGGAATAAACTCATGAACGGCCTTGAACACAGTCTGGGGGTCGCACTAAGTCAGGCGGAACCGAGCAGGACATCAGACAGAGCTGGGGACACTGGACGCTGATGCCTGGGAAACGGCAGGGCTGTCCCTCATCCCTAAGAGCATCTTTTTAAACCATATTAGAAAACGTCAGTCCAATGCTCTACTGCTGAAAACATAGCAAATCTTTGTTTTATTAAAATGAAGGAAACAAGAGCCAGCAGGTGGCGTGGTAGTGAAGGTGCTGGACTCCCACATGGCTGGCCACCGTTGGAGTCCCAGACCTGGTAGCTTACTTTCTCACTTTCTCTCCCTCTCTTGCCTCTCTCTCTCTCTCTGGTCAAATTAAAAATAATACTACTAACAATAATAAATAAAATTAAACAAATACTTTTTTAAATAAATAAATAAAAATAAAATGAAAGATTCATCATACTGAGGGAGGGAAGGACATGCAGTGGGCAGAGGCCTCCTGTGGGTAGTCAGAGCCATGGCAGCATGAGGTTAGGCATTCGGTCCAGTGAAATCCTCATGAACTTTGCCAATATCTTTGAGGGAGGATTGGATGGTGATTAGTTCTAACTTGGGCAGTAACAGTCTAGGCTGGATTAGATGTTGACTCAAAAACAGAGATTCTAAAATGGAAAATACCCATGTTAGTCCAAATTATGATTTACTTTATTTTCGTTGTGTTCCTTGAAAGTAAGCTGCGAACTGCTTACCCCTCCTCTCGCTTGTCTGTACGGCTAGGTCCTCAAGACTCCAGGACACAGCAGCCCTCATCCCACACCACCAAGACCACTCTGGGGAGAGCCAAAAACTCAACCTTCCGTTTTTGAGATGCGTGTTACAGACTTAGTCCGGGCTCTGCACAGGTGTGTGCTCTTAGGCCGAAACACGTTACGGGGTGTCCAGCCTAGGGAAGGGCTTTAGACAAGGCCTCTGCGTGCCTTTCCTCTTCTCTCCACATTTGTAATCAGCTTGTCATTTCATTATCTGCACTCGGTGTCGGCTGTTTGGGATCATTAGGCAAAACCTAGCTATCGCTCCAC